AAAAGGGATATATGATTAGGTATTATTTTTATGACAGGAGTCCAGAATGAAGGCTGCACAGTGGAGTGGACTTGGGGGGAGGGATTGTATAACAAGGAAAGAATTTTTCTTTTACTTTTCAAAGAGAAGTGCTAACTGGGGGCGGGGTGGGGCGGGGAGGGATAAAAGTGCAACAATGAATGACTGGAAATCCAAAGTCTGTAAACTTTCATTAAAATTAATAATTTTAAAAAAGAAAAAAATGTTGTTGTTAGAAGCCAACGAGTCAAGTATGACTCATGGCAATTGTATGAACAAAAAACCTGGATCCTGTCCTATCCTGTACCATCTCTGATACACTTGAGTCCATTGCTACAGTCACCATGTCAATTCCTATCAATGGATGTCTTCTTCTCATTCGCTGACTAGCACCCTTTGAAGCATTATGACCTTTTCTAAGTGATAGTTTCTCCTACTAACACATCCCATGAAATGATGGCATACCGATTCACAAGTTTTAATAAACAGATGCAGTCCTGTATGTGCTTATCTGTCTATGCCAAGAAATTTGGAAGACAGCTACCTGGCCAACTGACTGGAGGAGATCCATATTTGTTCTCACTCCAAACAAAAACCATGATTTAAAAGAATGTAGAATTTTGGATATTATCATTAGAATCACATGCAAGTAAAATCTTGCTTAAGATTTTTTTTAAAAGGCTCAGGAACTGTGGAAAATCCAGGTTCGAGTCAGAAGATTCTATGGCATGCAGGATATCATTGCTGACACCTGATGGATCTCAGCTGAAACCAGAGAATACCAGAAAGATGTAGTTTATTGATTGTGCAAAGGCATTTGACTCTGTGGATCACAAAAAACTGCTGCATAACAATGAGACAAATGGAAATCTTAGAACACTTAATTAGAACACAGACGAACAGAATAAGGGAACACTGCATGGTTTAAAAGGAGTAAACGTAATGTGTCAGGGTTGGATCATATCAAAAGTAAGTATGAAGACCTGTAGGTATGTAGACCAGTGTCATGATAGATGGGAGAAAAGTTTGCTGATGACCTCATATTGCTCAGATCCACAATCAACATCTTTGGCACCAGTAGCTAGGAAATAAAAATTTATGTTGCATCAGAAAATCTGCTATCATGGACCTCTCCAGAGTGCTAAATAGCAACATCTGTCTGGAGAATACAATGCCCCTGATCCAGGCCATGGTCTCTCAATTGTTTGCTATGCCCCTCAGAACTGAACAATGAATAAGCATGGCAGAAGAATCAATGCCTTTGAGTTGTGGTACTGAAAAAAGAACACTGAACATACCATGGACTTCCAAGCAAGCAGGAGTCTGTCCTGGCAAGAGTGAAACAAGGTTGCTCCTTGGAGGCAAGGATTTTGAAGCTCTGTTTCACATAATTCAGGGATTTCACCAAGAGGGACCATGGCAATGGGGCAAGTGTGTCAGAAAAAGTGAGACTGGCTTAGGACAGGGCTAAGTTCAGAGCCATTGTTCAGTGGGTTACTGTGATTCATAGTCGACTCCACGGAAAGTAACAACATGAAGACCTGTAGACCAGGTGCTGACTTCCAAATTTCATGGTATCTGCTAATGAATACCTGCAGGGTTGAAACTGTTTCCAAAAACATCTCAACTGGTTTTCCCTCAGTTCCTCGCGCCTTATTTTTTCAAAGCCTTCAGTGCAACTTGGACTTCTTCCTTCGACAATTGGCTCTTGATCATATGCTCTTTCTGAAATGTTCAGCGTCTATTTTTGGTACAATGACTTGTGTGTTCCTTCTACCTGAATTGTTAAAAAGTATACCAAGAATGACCTACAACCAGGAGAAGATAACGTAGATGAATGAGATCTTCTAAGACTCAAATCCCTATGCACATCCAAAAACTTCTCCAATAGGGTAAAAAGGGAAGCCACTGACTGGGAAAAAGTATTCGGTAATAACATATCAGATAAGGGACTTATATCCAGAATTTATGAAATACTTGAGCACCACAACAAGATAAAGGTAAAGAATCCAATAGAAAAATGGGCACAGGATATGAACAGGCACTTCACCAAAGACGACATTCAGATGGCTAACAAGCACATGAAGAAATGCTCAAAATCCCTAGCCCTAAGAGAGATGCAAATTAAAACAACTATGAGATATCATCTCACCCCAGTCAAAATAGCAAAATTTAACAGAACAGCAAGCAACAAATGCTGGCGAGGTTGTGGAGAAACTGGAACCCTGATTCACTGTTGGTGGGAGTGTAAAATGGTGCAACCCCTGTGGAAAGCAGTATGGCGCTTTCTCAAAAAGTTGCAAATAGAGATACCATTTGACCCAGCAATTCCACTACTGGGAATATACCCTGAAGAGACCACAGCTGACATCCAAGCAGATATATGCACACCCATGTTTATTGCAGCTTTGTTCACAATAGCAAGGATTTGGAAACAACCGAAGTGCCCATCAACAAACGAATGGCTAGAGAAGCTGTGGTATATTCGCACAATGGAATACTATGCTGCATTCAAAAACAAGGAACTCATGCAATATTATTCAAAATGGTTGACTCTGGAGAACATTATGCTGAGTGAAATATCCCAGTCACAAAAGGACAAATATTACATGATGCCACTGTTGTAGAATGGGACTAACCTCGGGGTCGGGGAGAGACTGAGTAAGATGGGTTCAATAATGTATACTGCACTGAAACAGAGGAGGGAGAAAACTGTTTAAAAGAGATATGTGACTAGGTATTTCTGTCATCACAGGAGTCTAGAGCGATAGCTACATGGTGGAGGGGACCTGGGGGAGGGTTTGTAAAACAACGAAAGAATCTTTTCTTTTACTTTTCCATAATTTTTGACTCATGCACTTATAACTTGTTAGTTAAATTTGTGTCTTCTAGATTGCAACACCCCCATGATACATCTTCAAGGATATGAACATGTACGGCTAAGCACAATTAATAACAGTGCATCTAAATTCCAAAATCAATCTCCATAATAGTCTATGTGTTTCCTACTGCCAAAGGGGCCCTTTAGAGTAGTGAGAGAAGATCTTCACCCTGAAACCCACAGCGTCCCTTTTCAGCAGGAAGTAGCTAAGAGAATACGCCATCCCTTTTTCCTTATGTATCAGGGTGAAGTCTCTCTCAGGGAGGAGTGATAGGGAATGGCAAAGGACACACTGACAAAGGAGATTAATCAGAACTGACTTTGACAAGCACTGTGGCAATTGGACAATTAAAACAGACATTCGGATGGCGGGGGAAGAAGAACAAACTGGGGAGGAGGGTAGAGAGAATGGTGCAGCAATGAAGGAATGAAAACCCAAAATCCCTGTAAATGTTCATTAAAACTAATAAAATTTAATAATTAAAAAAAGTAAAAGAAAAAAAAAAGTATACCAAGAATGGATTTTATTCACTGAACACTGACAGAAGACCAGGTGAGTTGTGGTATGATATCAAAGACTTAATCTCTCCAGCATCCCTGAGTTGAAGGACAGAAGACTGGCACTTCAGCAGCAAGACTTGGCTTTAGAGGGTGCAGAAGATGTTGAGGAACATAGCTGAGTAAGTGGTTCCCTGTCAAGCTCCCAGCTTCTTTGGAGAATGTAACCAAGGTCCCTCACATGTGGGCTTTGCCAGCACTTCTCTCACACGTAGGGTTGAGGCTGGGTGAATACGCATTTGTGAACACTATGGCCTGCGTCTCCTGCCATTTCACTAAATGGACAAGACTTTCCTTGTGTACACAGGGGTCCCTACAGCCTGTGGCACTATTAATTTCTGCCACAAAAATGAAATTAAAATGAAAAAAAATTTTTAAAAAAGGCGTATTGCCATGGGAAAGTCTGTTAGGGACCTCTCCAATGTACTGAAGAGCAATGGTGTCTCTCTCGAGACTAAGGTGCATTTGATACAGGCCATGGTCTTTGCAATCACTTGTTATGCATCAGAGTTGGATAATGACCAAAGAAGATAGAAGGAAAATTGATGCCTTTGAGCTGTGGTGCTGGAGAAGAGTATTGAGAGTACCATGGACTGCTAGGAAGACAAACAGATTCACCCTGGAAAGGGTTAAACCAGGCTGCTCGTTGGAGGCAAGGATTCCGAGGCTTTGCCTAACATACTTTGGACATGTTGGGAGGAAGAGACTGGTCCTTGGAGAAGGACATCATGCTTGGGAGGGTGGACGGATAGCGCAGGAGGGGAAGGCTCTCTAGGAGGTAGACTGATTCAGTGACTGGGGTAATCGGGATGGGTGTGTCGGAGACAGTGAGACTGGCACAGGACAGAGCAGACTCGACAGCACACAACAACCCGCTCCAGGGAGCTCTGCTTGACAGAGGTGCGCTGCCACCCCAAAGGCAAGCGATTTGAATCTAGCAGCCGCTCCGCCGGAAAAAGATGGGTAAGTTTCTCCCTTTCGGTTAACGGCTTCCGGAACCCCGTTGTGGGGTCAGCGAGGCGTTGGTTCCAACTAAAAGGAAAACAAGGACCCCATTCCCAGAAAGCAACTCGCACTCGAGCTCACGTCTTACGTGGTGATGTCCGCACACAGCGCCGGCGCGAGCATGCGCTGGCCGCCACTCAGGGGTGAACAGGCTAGTGAAAGGGTTCGGGGCGGTGCCTGGGGGGTAGGTGCGGCGCACCGGGAGCCCAGCCCAGGGAGCCGGCTAGGCGTGGGGACCAACATCCCAGCGCCTCGTCCACTCGCGCGTGCGGCTGCTGGGATCAGCAGTGACGGAGGCTTAGCCCGAGGGCCCTGTGCAAGAGTCGTCGCCAGAGGCCGGGTCATGCGGAGCGCCCGGGCTAGGTCTCGCTGACCTAGGCCTAGAACAGCGGCCTTTCCCTTCTCTGCTGCGGCCACCCGGCATGTGCATCCGACCAGGCCCGGAGCCGGCGCAGCCCTGCCGACCGCGGGAGCGCTACGGGCCCGTGGATGCGCAGTGCTGACCCGACCAGCCTGCTGCCGGGAGCGCCCGGCGGCCATGGAGGTGGTGGGGGACTTCGAGTACAGCAAGAGGGACCTCGTGGGACACGGGGCTTTCGCCGTGGTCTTTCGGGGGCGGCACCGTCAGGTGAGCCCACCGGCCCGGAGCGTGGCCAGCACCGCAGCCTTCTTGAGTCTGAGGAGCGGGGGCCGTGTTCTGGAGAGTCAGTCTACTCCCTCGCGGCCGCCGGGGCTGGCCTTTGTGGTGCCTCCTCGCAGAGCTCATTTGCAGCGCCCCACCCACTACCCGCCCCTTGTTTTTCTCATCTTTAGCAGCGAGTAAGTCATCGGGCTTGCTGCACCTCTGTGGTTCGAATCCACTAGCGTACACTAGCACCGGCAGCGCAGCGGGAGAAGGATGGGCAGCCTCCTTACTTCGCTTTACTGCCTCTGAAAACCCGCTGCCGGGCCAGTTAACATTTGACAGCAATGACTTGAGTTTTAAGTCGATGTTCTCTGCTGACTGGAGTTCCCCTCGCCGGTCCCCGGTGTTTTCTGAGGCCACAGTCCTACCGGCCCTGGGCACTTCTGAGTCTGGACCTCTGCTGCTGCCAGTAGGCCCAGTGGCTAGTTGCCGAAACTTTGATTTTTTTTAATAGGCTACTTACTGAAACGGACTTTTGTCACCTTACAGCCCCATGATCCTGTACCATCTCAATACTTTTTTGGGTGAGGATGGTTCAAGCCAAATAATAGTGACAGCATCTTCAAGATGTCCTCTCCACCTTACTTGTTTAAATAAAAGTTTTACTGCTTCACAAACAGTCATGCAAGTTTTAGACTTTTTGGAAAAACATCAGGAATGAAAAAGGAAGTGGCAATTCAGTTTGTTGCTGAGGAGCATATTTAAAGTTGGCTGACATTACTTGTCACATAAAGCATACTTCTGTCAAATGGCTTCATACTCATGGGGAAAAATTATGATTGCAAGTAACAAATACTGCTTTCAGTTTGACATGCTACCTTCCAAGTATATTTACCATACTTCTTCACTTTTCATTGAATTCCAGTCACATTCTTTTTTTAACTTAGGTTAGTTACTAAATGATCTTACTATTTTAAATTAAAATGTTCTAGGAGTGTTTATAGGACATTGGCTTATTATGCCGTAATTGATGATATAATTTTCTTTTGTTGGAGATTCTGATTGTTTTCTGTTTTTCCCTATTGTTATACATAAATTTGCTAAATACAGCTTTGTCTAATAATTATCCTGCTCAGTTATGTCTGGAATTCCCAGCAGTAACTAACACTTTTTCTTTTTCAGAAAACTGATTGGGAGGTAGCTATTAAAAGTATTAATAAGAAGAACTTGTCAAAATCACAACTACTGCTTGGAAAGGAAATTAAAATTTTAAAGGTATTTTTTTTATGTGGCATTTCATATTGTTTTATACTATCAAGTTATAACCCATTCAGAATTAACATGGGAGGGGATTTCCAAACTTTGTTCTATGGACCAGCTGGTGGATTCAAACTTCATTTCTTTGGGTTGACAGTACAACTCCTTACCAAAAAGCCACCAGACCTCCATTGACATTTCTTACTAAGTTAAATATTATTATGAATTATCACATCTTTTGCAAATTTGAGTCTGAAAATTTTCAGCTGTTGTCATTTTTGCATGCTCCATGTTTTGAAACTTCTAGTGCTTGAAACCACTGTTTGTGATTCTTGGCTGAAGTTTGGAGGTATTCTATGAAGACTTGACTTTAGTTTATCATAATATCTTGCTTCATTTGTTTGAGGGGATGGAAAAGGTCAATCTCCCATACATTATTTACATAGTCTGTTGTCTTTCTTCAAGTTAACAGTTAAGCTTTTATATTTTGAGTGGAAGTGAGTTGGGGTCTTGTAAACTGAAGAAAGTTCTTTTCCTTGGAGGTGGTCTCATTACTTCACTCAAACAGTATGATGCTTTGAGGAAAAGAAAAATGGTTCTGTTTGGAAATACTTTCTTGGAGAGTCATAAGCACTTGGCTCATTAAGGAATGGCTGAAAAATTTAAAAAACCTTATCTAAGTTAGCTTAACTTGGTGTTTCTTAAACTTGTAAGAACATGGGATCCTCATTTAAGCTTTCCCCTTTGGAGATCTTTAGTAAATATTATTCTAAGCTAAGAATTCTATTTTTCAGACAGATAATGGTTTTTAAAAAGTATCTTGGAGTTTCATAGTTCTGTTGTAGTTAGCGATTTTGTATATAATAAATTTGAATGAATAGCTGAAAGTTTGTGGCCATATATCCTAAGTATATTTTGTGATAGTGAAACTCCTTTTAGGAGTCTAGACAGTGACAATAGTGAAATAAATGTTTAGACTGAAAGTTTGGTCAGAGACACTTCTTATTCTTTAGTTGTTTGACTTACGGCTAGTAATAACCAAACCAAATCAAAACTACTGCCAGAGCTGGTTCTGACTCATGGTAACCCTCCACTGGGTTTTTGAGGCTGTAAATATATTGTTTTTTAAATTAATTATTAATTTCAGTAAAAATTTACAGAGACTTTAAATTTCCATTCATTCATTGTTGTACTTTTCCCCCCTCCCAACCCTCCTCCCTAGCACACTACCTCTTGGAAAAGTAAAAGAAAAATTCTTTCATTGTTTTACAGACCCTCCCCCAGGTCCACTCCACCATGTAGCCTTTGCTCTAGACTCCTATCATGACAAAAATACCTAATCGCATATCCCTTTTAAACAGTTTTCTCCCTCATCTGTTTCAGTGCCGTATACATTGTTGAACCCACCTTTCTCAGTCTCTCTCCAACCCCAAGGTCACTCCTGTTTTACAACAGTGGCACCATGCAGTATTTTTCCTTTTGTGACTGAGATACTTCATTCAGCATAATGTCCTCCAGGGTTACCCATTTTGAATAATATTGCATTAGTTCCTTGTTTTTCAATGCAGCGTAGTATTCCATTGTGTGAATACATCACAGCTTCTCTATCCATTTGTTTGTTGATTGTTTCTAACTCTTTGCTACTGTGAACAAAGCCGCAATAAACATGGGTGTGCATATATCTGCTTGGGTGGTGATTATGGTTTCTTTAGGGTATATTCCCAGTAGTGGAATTGCTGGGTCAAATGGTATCTCTACTTGCAACTTTTTGAGAAAGTGCCATACCATCTTCCACAGTGGTTGCACCATTTTACACTCCCACCAACAGTGAATAAGGGTTCCAGTTTCTCCACAATCTCGCCAGCATTTGTTGCTTGCGAGGCTGTAAATCTTGAAAGGAGAAATTGTCCATGTTTGTTCTGTGAAGATGCTGGTGGAATTGAACTTTGAACTTTTGATTAGGAACCCAAACTCAACACACAGGTTAATATGCCAGCAGGCCTTCTTACTCTGGTAATAGACATGGTTTGTGTTTTATGTGCCATTGAATCGTGACTCTTAGCTGACCCTCCAGCTGGTTTTCAGAGGCTTTAAATTGCGCAGAAGGAGATTACCCTTCCTTCTTCGGCAGAATGGCTTGTGGATTTGAACTAGGTGCCTTTTGTTTTGCAGCACAACTTACCACTAGGCTACCAGTGCTCTCTAAGAGACGTGTAATATACTAGAAATCATACCTATAATATCAGTTCAAAGACTAAGGTGCACCTGATCAAAGCCATTATATTTTTAGCTGCTTTATATATATATCTTATAGTAAGTGTGGAAGATGAGAGAAGAATTGATGCCTTTGATCTGCCATGTCGCTGAAAAATGTTGAATATCCCATGGACTGCCAAAAGAAAAATCTCTGTTGAAGGAGGTGTAACTAGGGTACTCCTTAGAAAGCAAGAATGGTGAAACTTGGGCTCTATATATTTTGGAGATGTTTGTTAGGAGGTACCAATCATTAGAAAAAAGCATAATGCTGGGAAAAGCAGAGGATCAGTGAAAGAGAGTAAGACTCGTGCCGTGACAGGGTGACCAAGTGACTGCAACAATGGGTTTGAGTATGTTGCAGGATAGGGCAAAGCTTTGATCTGTTGATAGGATTTCTATGAGTTGTAGTTTACTCAACAATACCTTAAAGTATCTGTTTCTCTCTGTGTGTTTACTAGCCAGTTTATGTGCATATTGAAATATATTAAAATCCATTCTTCAGTGAGATGGAAAAGACAATTTCAAATTTCATTTGGAATGGAAAGAGGCCCCAAATAAGCAAAGCACTCCTTAAAAAGAGAAACAAGGTAGGAGGCACCTCACTCCCTGATTTCAAATCCTACTACACTGCCGTGGTGGTCAAGACAGCATGGTACTGGTACAATGACAGACACATAGATCAATGGAATAGAACTGAGAATCCAGAAATCAGCACTTCTACCTATGGCCAACTGATTTTTGACAAGGAGATGAAATCAGTTAAGTGGGGAAATGACAGCCTTTTTAATAAAGTGTTGGCAAAATTGGAAAACTTACCTGCAGAAAATTCAAGCAAGATCCATACCTCACTCCATACACAAAAATCAAATCAAGGTGGATCATGGACCTAGGATTAAAACCAAGAACCATAAACTTTGTTAAAGAAAAGCTTGGAAGAACTCTAGAAGTCCTAATCCACAACATAAACAGTCTTCCAAGCATCCTGGAAATTCTACAACCAGGAGAGGATAAAATAGATGAATGGGACCTTCTAAGAATCAAATAAATACTTATGCACATCTGAAAGCTTCTCCAACATGGTAAAAAGGGAAGCCACAGATTGGGAAAAAATACTTGGTAATGACATGTAAGACAAGGGACTTATATCTAGAATTTATAAAATACTCGAGCACCACAACAGGATAAAGGTAAATAACCCAGTGGAAACATGGGCACAGGATATGAACAGACACTTCACCAGAGAACATATTCAGATGGCAAACAAACACGTGAAAAAATGTTCAAAATCCCTAGGTCTAAGAGATGCAAATAAAAACAATTATGAGATATCATCTCACCCCGGTAAGAATAGCAAAATTTAACAGAACAGCAAACATCAAATGCTGGCAAGGTTACAGAGAAACTGTAACCCTTATTCACTGTTGGTGGGAGTGAAAAATGGTGCAACCACTATGGAAGGCTGTATGATGCTTTTTCAAAAAGTTGGCAAATAGAGATACTATTTGACCCAGTAATTCCACTACTGGGAATATACCCTGAAGAAAGCATAACTGCTACCCAAGCAGATATATGCACAGCCATGTTTATTGCAGCTTTGTTCACAATAACAAGGAGTTGGAAACAACCTAAGTGCCCATCATCAAACGAATTGATAGAGAAGCTGTGGTATATTCACACAATGGAATACTATGCCTCATTGAAAAACAGGAACTCATTAAATATTATACAAAATGGGTGACCCTGGAGGACATTATGCTGAGTGTAAGTCTTAGTCACAAAAGGACAAATATTGCATAGTGCCACTGCTGTAAAACAGGACTGACATCGGGGTTGAAGGAAGACTGAGAACGAATGGGGGAATGATGTTTACTGCATTGAAACAGATGAGGGAAACAACTGTTTAAAAGGTATAATTATGACAGGAGTCCAGAATGAAGGCAGCACAGTGGAGTGGACTTTGGGGGAGGGATTGCATAACAATGAAAGAATTTTTATTTAACTTTTTCAAAGAGAAGAGCGAATTGGGGAGAATGGGGTGGGCAGGGAGAAAAGTGCAACAATGAGTGAATGGGGAAAAAAAGAAAATTATCAGAATAAATATATATCTTTTAAATTTTCAATTTCATTTGCAGGAACTTCAACATGAAAATATTGTCACACTCTATGATGTTCAGGTACCATATTTTTAATTTTTTGACAAAATTTGAATGTCTATTAATAAAAATGTTTCTATTTCATATAAATTTAAGTAAATCTTAATGGGATGAAAAACTAATTGTTGAAAAAACAAACAAATATATGTTTATTAAGAAAGTGTTTTAAATGTCCTATAGCCGTGGGTTAATTACTTAATTGAATAAATAATTCATAATTAATAACATGTTACAATTTGTTTCCTTAAAGTTTTACGTCGAAAACCTTTAGTCAGTCCTGCTCGCTTATATAGGGTCATTAAGAATCAGAACCAAATCCTTGGCAGTGGGTTATATATGATACAGGGGATAGGAAGACATTTAAAACCAGAATAAGAAACTGTACAAATATGAAAATAGATATATATATATATATAAAATTTTCAAAGCTAGCATCTTATTATAAATAATGTTAATACTTTGACAGCTATGAAAAAGAACAAAGTTGATATACTTAATAACATATATGCATCTGAAACGTGTTAGTAAAAAGAAGCCATTCACATAGCAGCATCTGAATGATTCTAGTGTTGTGAATTTCAAGAAGGAACATTAATCATCTCTGGTAATAGAATTCAAGGATGTCAGAACAGAAATTGCCTCTTAATAGTTTGAATTGACTGGAAAGGAACACAAGGAGACTTTCAGGGATAATGGAAATCTCCTCAGTTTTGATTGGCAGAGTAGGTGTATATGCTTGTCACAACTCATTGAATTGTACTTTCAAGTTTATGTGTGTCAGTGAGACCCTCAACAGGATGGATTGACCGAGTGACTATACAATGGGCTTCAATATATCATCTTTGTTATATTATATATATATAATCATATGTTCTCTGATATATTGGGGATGTCACAGGATAGGGCAAGGTTCATAAGGTTGCTGTGAGTTGTAGTCCACTCGACTGCACCTAACAACAGCAAAAATATATGTAAATTACACCTCATAGAGTACAAAACAAAATCAGGCAGCAGAGGAAGTTTTAGAGTGTATTGTCTTAGATGTTGTTTTAGGTCAATTATAACCAGATTTTTTCCATAAGCAACTTGATGACTACATTATTGTTAATTAAAACTTATTTTGACTATAAAGATGATGTGCTTGAATCACTGTTTTGGGACTCCTAAATTTCATTTTCTAATGGATTTTATTTAATAGTATATATGTATAGTACTTTTATTAAAATTGTTTTAAAATTTTACATTTTTCTCTGACTTAAATGATTCTTAATAATTTACTTTACAGGAATTACCGAACTCTCTCTTTCTGGTGATGGAGGTATGTGGCATATAAATGTCTATTTCATTTATTTCAAATTCCTTTTGATTACTAGATAATTTAAAATAGTCATTTGAAAATTTGTGTGAATAAAATTAATTTGGTAATTAGATTATGTACAAAATAAAAAATGACAAGATTTTTGATCTAATAGTTCTTACAGTATATTTTAGATTAAATTAATATAAAAATTATTTCCAAATTAAGATGAACTGTTAGTGGATTCAATTAATCAGTGTCTTCATTTTAACTATCTTTTTTTAATTTATTTTTTTATTATGTACAGTATTGCAATGGTGGAGACTTGGCAGATTATTTGCAAGGTAATTTGTGTGTGTGTGTGAGAGAGAGAAGAATTCAGTAAGCATTGTATTGTAGTCTATTTAGGGAGCTCTGGTGGCCCAGACCTGCGCTGCTAACCCACAGGCAGTTGAGATCTGTTAGTGGCTCTGAGGCAGAGAAATGGGCAGTTTCCTCCCCTGTGATTTAAAGTCTCTAAAAACCTGTTTTCTACTCTGTGGCAATGAATGTCTTTGTGGACTGTTTAATGCTGAGAATCGATTCTGAAATAGGTTACCCTCTTTCCTGCACGTGGGTAAAAATAATTTAGTAAATGTTTGTTTAACAGTATTTGCTTTTCTGGCCCACTGTTTGTTGTAGTTTTGTTTCTTAAAATTGATGTATCTTAGTTTTATGTGTGGCTCTCCCTAATGATACTTGTGGTATCTCTAGAGAAGAACCCAAATTCTATTTCTCTCTCTCAAAAAAAATCTGAGTTCTTATCATTGAACTTTTTTTTTATCTTTTTTTTTTATCATTGAACTTTTAGTCTCTTTCAAAATAAAAACCATAATGGAAGAATGTTCCTAAGAATGAGTTTAATTTGAAAGTTTCTTGTAAACAAATCAATGAAAAGTAATTATAAAAGTATTAAAGATCATGAGAACAACTATGAGATGTTATCTCACCCCAGTCAGAATAGCAAAATTTAACAGAACAGCAAACATCAAATGCTGGCGAGGTTGTGGAGAAACTGGAACCCTTATTCACTATTGATGGGAGTGTAAAATAGTGCAACCGCTGTGGAAGGTGGTATGGTGCCTTCTCAGAAAGTTGCAAATAGAGATACCATTTGACCCAGCAATTCCACTACTGGGAATATACCCCAAAGAGACCATAACAGTCATTCAAGCAGGTATATGCACACCCATGTTTATTGCAGCTTTGTTCACAATAGCGAGGAGTTAGAAACAACCTGAGTGCCCATCAACAAATGAATGGATAGAGAAGCTGTGGTATATTCATACAATGGAATAATATGCTGCATTGCAAAACAAGGAACTCATGCAATGTTATTCAGAATGGGTGACCCTTGAGGACATTATGCTGAATGAAGTATCTCAGTCACAAAAGGACAAATACTGCATGGTGCCACTGTTGTTAAACAGGACTGACCTTGGGGTTGGGGAGAGACTGAGAAAGATGGGTTCAACAATGTATACTGCATTGAAACAGATGAGGGAGAAAACTGTTTAAAGGGGATATGTGATTAGGTATTTTTGTCATGACAGGAGTCCAGAGCGAGGCAGCAGAGTGGAGTGGACCTGAGGGGAAGGACTATAAAATAATGAAAGCATTTTTTTACTTTTCTAAGAGGATAGTGTACTGGGGGTGGAGGGTTGGGAGGGGAGAATAGTACAACAATCAATGAATGAATGGAAATCCAAAGTCTCTGTAAATTTTCATTGAAATTAATAATAAAAAATTATAATAGAAAAATAATTAAGGATTAAATGGAAATAACATCCTAATACTAGATTCAAATGCATGTATGTAAAATAGGAAGCATTCAGATCAGCTTATCCCACCAGAATAGTTACAACACTAATGAGGCTTTTGCCTTTTAAAGAGGCTTTGAAAATATATAAAAAAGGTTAATATACCTATCATATATATAT